GCAACTTTTATACTGGAAACAGCTTCCAGCATAAAAGTTTCCTCTGTATTCAGTTAAAAAAGCAACAGCGAATGATGGCTTCCCCATGCTGGATTCCGTTGTCCTAGTGGTCGCTGTATCTCCTGTGCCAGGTAAATATGAAGCCTGTATCACTGGCCTGTAGCACAGGTGAAATGTTTCAGCAATAAGATTTATCAACTTGTTGGTATTGTATACTATTAACTTATGATACAAAACTACTAATATTCTGTTCATTCATGGGGCCTGAAGTTACATAATAAAGCAGATGCTATAGTATATGTATATATTTTTGTCTTTGATATTTTCAAACATGAGTTTTACAGTGGTGGGAATACAAGTGTTCTGGCAAAGTTAGGTACGGGAAAAACAACAAATTCATTCTGAAACAGATTCAGGAGACACCATACAGTGAACAGAAAACCATAACCCATTGGACTTGTTTACTACCACCATACAGTCGACTAACAAAATAAACTAAAAATTAAAACTTAGGCGCTGCTATTTACTGTATCAAACAGTATGATGCATATACTTCATTAATACTTACATTCTACAGCAAGATTAGCTGTAGTTCTTGCTTCTCCAGCCTTGTTCCTTGCAATACAAGTGTAGTCTCCTGCATCTTCAGGAAACACTTCAAGTATCTGAAGACCAGCACGGCCATCAGGAGTTTGTGTCAATCGCACCTCACGATGATGACCAATAGGTCGCCCATTCTGGAACCAGGTCAGCTTGGGCATTGGTTTACCTGTTACTTTACATGAGAAGCGAACTTCCTCTCCATCCATGACACGGATGGGAGTCAGAGGAGGATTGAAGGAAGGTGGCTCTGCTTCTTCTGCACCTTCACCTTCAACAAGTAATGTAGCAGTTGAAGATGCAAGGCCAACTGGATTTTGAGCGGAAACTGTATAATCACCAGAGTCATCCTCAAATAGTTCCCCAAGAACAAGAGAGCTTTTATTATTTTCACTAGTGATCTGTACCTCCAGTTCTTCATCCGCTGTTATCTGTATACCATGTCTATACCACATGAATTCTGCTTGTGGTTTAGCAGTAACTTCTGCTTCTAGAATGGCCACCTCACCTTCAGGAACAATCTGAGGCTGCAACGGTTTGATGAACTTCGGAGGTTCCATTTCAATTACCTCTTCAGGTTCTGTAGAAACATTAAGTATCGAGAAAAATCTTTGCCATTGGAACTTAAAAGTACGACTTGGTATGCTTGTGAAAAATCTAATCAAGAAGATTTCTTAAAAACCTAACCTATTAATATAATAATCAAAAATGAAAAAAAATGCCGGCTTCTGAAATGAAATAAAACACAGTTAGATATGTTAAACTTACTTGTCACAATGACTGTAGCAACAGATCTTGCTTCTCCAACTTCGTTGAAGACTCTGACTTCGTACTCTCCACTGTCGTCTTCGAAAACCTCCTCAACATGGAGGCTCGTTTCGTCGTCGATATATTCGATAATATAATCTCGAGACGGCTTCAGTTCTTTACTTTGATGATACCACTTGACAGTGGGTGGTGGGAAGGCTTCATAGCGGGCATTCAAGTCAAGGGGAGAGGAAGCTTTTACTATCTGAGCCTGCAAGGGACGAGTGATCCGCGGTGCCTGACGTAGCTCACTCTTCTCAAGCATCTCTATATCTTCAACAGTAACATATGCAGCAGTTTCATCTTGGCCATGCTGATTAATAGCAACACATCGATACAGCCCCTTGTCATCAATGAAAACTTCACTTATGATAAGAGCAGCATGCCCTGTTGTAGCGTCAAACTCTTGGACAAATTCTGAAGATGGGGCGATTTCCCTTTCGAGATGATACCACAGGACTTTGGGTGTGGGCTTTCCCTTGACCGTAGTCTCCAACACTGTCTTTGAGCCATGCTGAACCTTGAGTGGTTTTAATGGCTCTAGGAACTTAGGTGCCTCCCCACGAGGCTTGTCTTTTCGTGCTGTAAAATGTATTTAACATTAATCGTGATTACTGTGTTTCATTTATAAAGTCAGCTTAATTCTCTGGCAAATACTGATATCAAAATAACATGGTACTTCCACCACATTCCAAAAGTTAAATTTGTTAACATTTAAGCCCAGTGCAGATTTACATGAAAAATAGCAGAGGTCTTACAGATACTGCAACTCTAGCAAATCAAACAATTAAGTTGCTTTATATATAATATGCAATGATATGTTTAATGATATTTTATTAACAAATTCTAATCTTAGTGCTCATAAAAACTGTGACCTCCATCATGGCTATACTGTGATTACAACTAAATGACATAATCACAAAATTGGAAATACTCTCCACTTCTCAGATCATGCCTGACTACCCATTTTCTAGGTGGTGCATGACCCTTACAGATTTAGCATTTCCCTGTGAATATCTTATATTAATGTGGAAATGCTAAACCCACATTAGTTATACATCATCCAGGGAAGCATAACCCACAAGATGAACTAGATGACTGACTCTGGCAGCAATATTCACTCACACTGGTTATTAAAGTGAATGCAACATTACAAAAATTTCAGACATGTCAAAAATTCCCTCAAACTTCTCTGAAACTTTGAAAACAGGTTTTTTTATTTTTCTCTAAAACTGCTGATATTGCATTTATTTTTATCTAAAAAAAAAGTTCATCAAAACCTATACGTACTTTCTCTGCGAAGGCCACAATATTTGATTCAGATTTTGCCATCGAATGGTAGTGCAAGATCATAATGAATAAACAGGCCTAGGAATTAGGCCTGTTTTATCTGCTGCAAGCAAATTTGGGTTCTGCTGATGTCTGGTATCTTATTTTCATTACACAAGATACCTTGACATACCACATAGGGAGGTAATTGGACAATCAAGCACATAATGTTCAGCAAAGTAATCATAGGACTGATCACGTACTTTACGTTTAGTTTGATCATCTGTGCATATTACAAACTGCCATTAGTACCTGCAACCGAACGTAAGCCTGGCTACTACATCATTCTGTAAACACTGCCAGTTAAGAGTGAAGATAATATAAGATAAGATTTTGTTTGGATTTTTAACCCCGGAGGGTTAGCCACCCAGGATAACCCAAGAAAGGCAGTGTGTCATCGAGGGACTGTTTTATCTCCACTGGGGTCCTCAATTTTGTCCCCAGGATGCGACCCACACCAGTCGACTAACACCCAGGTACCTACTAGTTAGGTGAACAGGACAACAGTTGTAAGGAAACATGGTGAAATGTTTCCACGCCACCAGGAAGTGAACCCAGGCCCTCTGCATGTGAAGCGAGAGCCTTGTCAGCCAGGCCACGGGGCCCTAAACCATAAATATGCGTAAAATATCACTATTGATGTGCTGCATTTCGAGCCCATTCAAATCTTGTTCCCTAGTGATCCTTGTATTTTAAAAGCTAGCATGAAATGTACAGCACGAATATGACATTAAACATGCCGTACACGAGGTGACTGACTGACTGACTTTTTGTGCCGCTTTGTTATGACAGTGGCCACCATCCATCAGGGCAGCGGCCACCATCCATCAGGGCAGCAGCCACCATCCATCAGGGCAGTAGATCAATCTGAAAAGGCCTTTTAAATCTCTGAGAGGAGAGTAGTTGTCGTCTCGTTGGTCAAATACAGTTACCAGTGATGAAGGCCCCCCCAAAATTCTTTGGCCATGAACTAAATTTGTGAAAGTAATTAAATATACACGAATAAAAATAAAAATAATATAAAGCCCCCTTATAACTAGAGGCAGGGGCCAAATGGCCCTCCTGGCTTAGCTTTTGAGTGGTCATGTATACCTAGAGTTCACCTGGAGAGGGTTTCGGGGATCAATGCCCCCGTGGCCCGGTCTGAGACCAGGCCTCATGGTGGATCAGGGTCTGATCAACCAGGCTGTTACTGCTGGCCGCACACAAGCTGATGTACGAACCACAGCCCGGTTGGTCAGGTACTGGCTTTAGGTGCCTGTCCAGTGCCTTCTTGAAGACAGCCAGGGGTCTATTGGTAATCTCCCTTATGTATGCTGGGGGGCAATTGAACAGTCCTGGGCCCAGGACACTTATTGTGTTGTCTCTCAGTGTACCCGTGGCACCCCTGCTTTTCATCGGGGGAATGTTGCATCTCCTGCCTTGTCTTTTGCTTTCATATGGAGTGATTTTCGTGTTCAAGTTTGGTACCAATCCCTCCAGGACCTTCCAAGTGTATATTATCATGCATCTCTCTCTCGCCTGCGTTCGAGGGAGTACAGATCAAGGACCTTCAACCGTTCCCAGTAGTTTAGGTGCCTTATCGCATTTGTGTGTGCCGTGAAAGTTCTTTGTATACTCTCCAGATCTGCAATGTCGCCAGCCTTGAAGGGGGCCGTTAGTGTACAGCAATATTCCTGCCTAGAGAGCACAAGCGATTTGAAGAGAATCATCATGGGTTTGGTGTCCCAGTCTTTTAGCCTTTCCATATGTGATGATCAATCAGTCAGCTACCCACCAAGGACCCAATCTGGCAGTCAGTTCCAAGTTCAAGTATCTGACTAGTTAATTACTCAGCCGAGTACTCAACCAAACAGTTACCTAACCCAGTAATCAGCTAATCAACCCAAAAGTATGCTACCCTTCTCAATAGTCGGCTATCAAACCAAACAGCATACCCAATCCAACCGAGATACCCAGCCAGTTTAGTTTAAGGGGGTGCCATGATGCCAGTGGAGGGCTTTTGATCCTACGAATTGGAGCTACTTCCCTTCCTATCAGATATAATTACCTCTCATTCCCTAGGCACTGCACGGTCTCTACATTTTTATCACTTCCATTTGAATATAATAATAATAATAACTATACCTCACCTACGATATACCGTACTAGCCCTCCCATTCAGCTCAAACTAATTGTATACTGACTGTGACACTCCTGTCTGACAGTGAGTGGACAGAGGATCGAGCCTCTACCACCCCTTGCACTGAATGACCAACACGAATTTAGCCTTTTACAAGAATAAAAAACTCAAAACATAACATATTTTTAACATCTTTTGAATTTTTTTTCCGATTCTGAAATCCATGACAAAAAGTCGTCGCTCGGGCAGCTTCAAATTTAAGTTACCTTATGCCTTTAGTTGCCTCTGAAGGGATCCTACAGGGCTCGGGCACCTGTCCCTGGCAACCACCATACTGGGCACTGTGCCAAGCATCACCTGTTTTAAGACCGTACTAAAGCCGGCACTACCTTAGGGATTTAACCATGAAATCAACTTGGAGCTACCCTTCCCTTTCCTGGGATCAAGCCTTAATACCTTCCATTGCCCAGGTGTTGTATGACCTTTACAGGCTCAGTCCTTCATTGTGAATCTACTAATAACAAGACTAAGAATTGATGAAGCAAACTCTGACCCATTACATAAAGTAGGCCTCCACTCCCCACATTATAGTAATAAATAAATAAATAAATAATAATAATATCTTTATTTACTACAAGTACATGTACAAGGTATACAGTCCTAGCTGACATCAATGACGCTACTATATATAAAGCCGCTTGTTATGCAGAGCATTTCGGGCAAATTAGGTCAGTTTTGTCCCAGGATGCGACCCACACCAGTTTTACCTATTCGGCACGACATATATATATATATATATATATATATATATATATATATATATATATATATATATATATATATATATATATAATATATATAATTTAGGCCTAAATTAGGCCAAATAAACTTAACTATAAACAGGCTGACGGAATGGATGCATTATGTAACTACTAAAACATTGCATCTCCCTTCATGGTGTCCTTAATTAAGAGCTGGTTATAATTTAGAGGTTGTTTAGTGCCTGAGTATCTTAGGGAAGGATCTGTGGACTTTCAAGCGCACTTCTGGAAGGACATTCAACGCTCTGTAACCACAAAAAAACTTGGTACACACGCTTGAATATATCTACACAAAAAAACTTACACCCCTACTCCACCTGACATACATAGAGGTGGATCTCTCAATGTATATACGCTGAGATTTTAAGCCCCATTTTAGCGAATAAAATATGCTTTACTAGTGGTGAACTGGTTATATGCAGCCTTAATGATCCTTTGTGTAGTAAACAATCTTCAAACCCAATTAACCATTAAAAGCCTCTACGTTTGGAAGACGTAATTCAAGATTAAAACCTGGATAAGTTTTCTTTCGCTTGCCTGACACAACTAAAGTTAATAAGAAGAAACCGAGGTAATTACTAAATATTAAAGTTTCTGAGATAAACGACTATTATTTGCTTAATAATGAGAGAGAGAGAGAGAGGAGAGAGAGAGAGAGAGAGAGAGAGAGAGAGAGAGAGAGAGGAGAGAGAGAGAGAGAGAGAGAGAGAGAGAGAGAGAGAGAGAGAGAGACAGAGACAGAGACAGAGACAGAGATACGTACAACCCCCAGGATAGTTATTTGCTGTATTACTTTCGAGTAAACAACAGCAAATATATCGCCAAATAGCATTCGCATTAGAAACAACTTTTTTTCCTATAAAATATTACGTAAATAAAAAAAAACTTTTTTAAAGATTTAAAAATATAAGCTGGAAGCAACTTACACCAGAGCCAGGAAAACATTATTGATGCCGGAAGGCGCAGATAAGAAGAGGTCTTGATGTCATGGTGTTACCATCACCCTGAGATGTTCACCTGTGCACACACAAGACCTGAATGACGCTCTCACTGGACGCAGAGCTCCCGACCTATTAATTCTGTGACGCAATCAGCGTTGCCAAAGTGCCACGGGTGATACGGCAACGATGATTTTATGTTACTAGTTTTTATTTGAATTACAACTAGCACCATTTATTTATCTTATAGATACATAAAAAAGCTGCAAATAATTTATACTCGACATAAAATGTGAACTGGAACCACTGGCAAGTTCCTGAGCCAATAACCAGGCACCAAGACTCAAAACATCTTCATTCATTTAGCATTAGGAATATATACACATCTTACGAAGCTCAGAAAAGTAATAGTGCGTCAATCATAAAAAAAGGTCAAATATAAAAATGACCCGCACATCTACTGTTACAAGGGAACACATGAGATAATTCTATCTATTTATCTATCTATCAATCTATCTATCTATCTATCTATCTATCTATCTATCTATCTATCTATCTATATATATATATATATATATAATATATATATATATATATATATATTCTGCGTACAGAGTATAATAATAAATCCTCTGATGTTTGTGTGGTTGAGGGGATGGGGGGGGGGTTGGCTGAGGAAGCAGCTATGTATTTTTGGTAGTATGAGCTAGGATACTTGCCAGACACATCATTTGATGTACCTCTAACATAATTCTCCATTCTTTTATATATGACTATGCAACAAAAACACACGTAGACACGACCTTCAAGGGCAAACAGTGTAGAGGTCAAACTTACGAACTCGATATATAGCAGCACTTTAGAATACTTTAACAATATTTCAGTCCGCAGTTAACAAAAACATCTTTTCTTAATAAGCATATCTATATAGTCTGCTTTCATGACCTGTGACTACTCAAAGTGAGAAAAGTTTTCTTTACTCTTTTGTGTACTTTAGTTCTGGGTATTATTATTATTATTATTATTATTATTATTATTATTATTATTATTATTATTATTATTATTATAGAAGCGTCAAGATTCACGAAATCGTAATAAGACGATTGCAAACAAACCACGGTACGAGTGGGGTTAGAACCCATGGCAAGTGAGTCGTAAAACTCCAAGCCAGTGCGTAAGCCACTTGCATTTGTGGTTACAGTGGGGTCCATGCTAACTTTCCTATGGTGTATAAATATACCTAGTTGGATGAATCTTATTGTAGCCAGCTAGCCCAGTGGCTTACGCACTGGGCTAGAGTTTTACGACTCACGTGCCATGGATTCTAACCCCACCCGTACCGTGGTTGATTGAAGCGTCAAGCCCGTGTGGGTCATTGAGTGCACGGAGTGGTTGAGGCTCTATCCTCCTTCCGTCATTCGCGGTTCGGCTTCTAATCAGTCATGCTACTGGTGACTGATCTTAATGATAAACAAAAATTTATTTCTGTTATATTCTGCTATAAATTCTGTTATATTTCTGCTCTATTCTTATGTCGAGAACCATAGTTAGGTGCAAATGAATGACACTCCGCTCAGCCATCTTTGTCTACCAGCAGTACTGAATGATTATGCGAGGTCTGCGATTTTTGTGAATAACAACAACAACAACAACAGCAATAATAATAATAATAATAATAATAATAATAATAATAATAATAATAATAATAATAATAATAATAAATCTTGGTAAACGAGGTGAAAATCTGAAATGCTACACCTGAGTATTTTGCGTAATCATTCGAGAGAAAATTTAAGTTTCTTTCTTGATAAAAATGTAACAAAATTTGATGACTATAATACTTCGGTGGTGCACAAACCTTGTTTTGTGAACACAAGAAAACTGAACCATTCGGTGAAAAACAAGATACAGTACATTCTAATTAATAAAGCACGGAAAACTCTACGGTGTTCTACAAACATGTTTCATTATCATACAGCGCCTGGCAATGTGAGGCGATCAAATATGACCCAAGGAAAAGGACGGCAGATCCAATTCCTTGGACCAAGAGTCCGTCACAGGCATCAAGGCCTCCCCCAGAAAAAACTTACCATAGAAAACCTAGAGTTGACTCAAACCTGAAAGAAGACGAAGGACGGAATGGGGGTGGGGGGGGGGGTTGCCACTACGCCGGTGAAAGGCTCGTAATTCAAGGTACTTGAGTTACAGTACCTTCGCTTTCTCGAATAAAACCTTATTAACCCCCCTTCTCCCGTCACAAGCATTTTTAATGACCCATGCAGTTTTACAGCTTCCCCATGAATGTAAATAATACTCCATTTTATACACTAAACCTGAAGGGGTCATATAGCGCCTGGAGAATGGGAGGGAATCAAGTTCGATCCAAGGAAGTAGAGAAGAGCGTTATGATGATTACAAAATATACATACATATGATAATTTAAGTATTGTGATCAGTATACATATATATCCTCTATATATGCACAACCTATACCTTTAAGGGATCAAATTTAATTGAATATAAACATCGAAAGGTGCTGTATGATCCCTAATGGTATGATTCCTAGTGCTCTGAATCTGTAGTGATGGTCTGAATGTGTAGTGGTGGTCTGAATGTGTAGTGGTGGTCTGAATGTGTAGTGGTGGTCTGAATATGCAGATCTAAACGTGTAGTGATTAGAATGTGTAGTGGTGGTCTGAATGTGTAGTTGTGGTCTGAAAGTGCTGTGGTGGCCTGAATGTGCAGTGATATGAATGTGTAGTGGTGGCCTGAATGTGCAGTGATCTGAATATGTTGTGGTGGTCTGAATGTGTAGTGGTGGCCTGAATGTGCAGTGGTGGCCTGAATGTGCAGTGATATGAATGTGTAGTGGTGATCTGAATGTGCAGTGATCTGAATATGTAGTGGTGGTCTGAATGTGTAGTGGTCTGAATGTGTAGTGGTGGTCTGAATGTGTAGTGGTTTGAATGTGAAATGGTGTTCTGAATGTGTAGTGATCTGAATATGTAGTGGTGGTCAGAATGTGAAGTGGTCTGTGGTGCTGGTATAAGTGTGTAGTGGTCTGAATGTGTAGTGTTGGTCTAAACGAGTAGTGCTGGTCTGAATGTGTAGCGCTAGTCTAAATGTGTAGTGATGGTTTGAATGTAGAGTCCTAGTCTGAATGTTAAGTGCTAATCTGAATGTCTTGTGATGATCTAGGTATGTAGTGAAGCTGTGAATGTGCTTTGGTTTGGCTAGTCCAGGGTCTCGCTTTGAGGGAGGGAGGGTAACAATACAAAAATATATCAAGACACTGGAATGAATTCGCGTTCGTTGACGGAGGTCAGTTGTTGTACATTGTATTATAGGCTACAACCACATCCCTTCTTGTGTTATGTCATAAGGAAAATTATAACAAAAATACATTTTGTAAAACGATACAATTCTTGAATATCTTTGTTAATTAAAATTTGTTCATATTTCTCATTCAACGAAAACTATGCGAATTACATTTTAAGAAAAATATTTAGCACAGTACTGAAGGTTGAAACATCAAGAAATAAGCACTACAGACTTCATTAATACTGCGTTATATTACTATAATTTTTAAATTCTCTAAATATAGAAAAGTACAACCAGCTATACCATTTGCTGCTACAAATAAACCATATAAAATAAAACATATAAAACAAACATATATTAACATGCTTTTTTTAAAACACACTTGAAAACACAGGCACCAAACAGGAGATGTAACTCACAACAATGCTCATGTTAGACTGATTATTAGAGCAGAGTGTCTTGCCGCATTTTGAGTGAACACTTACCTTTCTTTAACGTAAACCTGGGATAGCATAATGGAAATATTGGGCAAAATATCGTAAAATACATGTAGAAACACACTAACACTCATATATTTAACTATAGCTGGTATATATATATATATATATATATATATATATATATATATATATATATATATATATATATATATATATATATATATAATATATAATATATTCACGAATAACAAAAAAATGACGTAGATGCAGAGATGACTAGTGTTAAACAGAGATAACGGCTCAAGTGAACATAATACATAGTTTGTAACAGTACATAAAATCTAGGGGTACTACACTTCATAGAGTTATTTACATGTAAGTAATATTTTAAAGACAATTAAAAAAACGAAAAAATAACTCGATAGCACACAAAGCATAATTAATATGTTAACGTTATTTGATGGCGGAAACATGCCACGTCGTCGTAAAGCAGCGATGCCACGAAAGGCACCACTTTACCGTACCTTCTAATACTAAGTTAGCAATAGTGGTTGCCTTCCCTGCCACGTTCACCGCTTCGCAGGAGTACATGCCTTCATCATCTTCCGTTGTACGAACAATGGTGAGGGTCGATACTTTATTTTCGTAGCAGATAATCCTGTTGGTACTAGGTATTATTTCAAACCTATTGAAATACCATTTGATTTCAGGTGGAGGGTACCCCTTGACCTCACACTTGAAGACCGATTTGTGAGAAGGTTTGGAAATAACCGGTTCCAAGAACTGAGAGAAGGACGGAGGGATCACTTCAATATCCTTTGGCTTCTGGTCAACCCGTTTCAGCGATTTAACAATGGTTTCTTTCTTTGTTACTACTTCAGACAATTCTACATCAACACGGGTAGCCTCTGTCTTCTCAACTTCAAACTCCTCTCGCTTCGGGGTCACCATCACAGGAATCAAAGGTTCCTCAGGCTTGACTTCCTTAATCTTCTTGGGTTTCTTGCTAGGCTTCAACTGCACCTCCTCAGGCTCCGGCGATTTTTCCTTTTCGGGTTTTGAATATGGTTCAAGGGGAGTTCTCTCTGGCTCAGGGATTTCTGGCTCATATGGTTTGCCTGGTTTGAGTTTTGGTTCTGGTTTTGGTTCAGTGGGTTTCTCCTTTTTGAAAGGTTTAAGAACTACCTGTTCTTTTTCTTCCTCTTTTGGTGGTAATCTCCGACCTCTCCACGAGGGAACCTCGGTTTCTTCCTCTTTCTTTTCTGGTTTCTTTCTTTCCCTTTTAGGTTTGGGTTCTTCTTCTTCTGAGGGCTTCTCGTCTACTGGTTTTGGAGCTTCAGGTTCTACCGAAGGTTTTTCTTTAGGCTCTGGCTCAGGTTTGAGTGGTTTCTCCAGTGGGACTTTTTCTTTATCAGGAATCTCTGGTTCAGTGCGCTGGAATGGTTCCAACTCCACTGGCTCCCGTTCAGGAATGTCTTTGGGAAGTTTCTTACCAGGCTTACGAGCTGCCTTCTCTTTCTCTTCATCTTGTGGCTTTTTCTTCGGGATAGGCTTCAGCTGTGGCTTCTCGGCTTCCTTTTCAGGAGACTTTGGCCGACGTTTGGGTGGCTTTAATTTTATTTCCTCACCTTCCTCTTCAGGCTTAAATTTACCTTTCCCAAGCTTCAACTTCTTTTCCTCCTCTAGCTCAGGTTTATCCTTAGGTTTGCGTTGATATTTATCTTTTTCTGATTCCTCCTCATCTTTTGGTTTTGCCGGAGGTTCATACTTCTCATATTTCTCAAGCACTACAGGTTCTTTATCAGGTATTTCCTCAGGAACATAAGTTTCATATTCAGGAGGAGGAGTCCATACCCTCTTCTCAATTACAGGCTCAGGTTCTTCTGGGGTTTCAACATGCTCAAGCTCCACAGTTTCAAGTGTCACTTCTTCAGGGACAAATACATTTTGCGTTGTTTTCTTGAGCGTTATCTTTGGTATCTCGAACTTTTCCTCTTCCGGAGCTGGGAGCATCTTTGGCCTTTTCTTCTTAATCTTTGATGGTATTTTCTCCGGTTCATCAGGTTTCATTTCTTCTACCTTTGGCTCTGGTGATATTTCTTTTACAGGTTCAGGAACTTGATCGGTAACTTTCTCCTTTTCAGGCTTCGAGTAAGGTTCCAAAGGAGGTTTCTCTGGTTCAAGTATTTCAGGTTCATAAGGCCTACCTGGTTTGATTTTTGGACTGGGTTTTGGTTCTTTTGTCTTCTCCTTTTTGAAAGGTTTTAATATAATTTTTTCTTTTTCATCTTCCTTAGGAGGAAGCCTTTTACCTCTCCACGAAGGTGCTTCAACTTCTTCATCCTTATCTGGTTTAATTTTATCACTTTTAGGCTTAAATGCCTCGTCAGGAGTAAGCTTTTCCTCATCATCGAGCTTAACAGGTTGACTCACATCATCAGGAACCTTTTCCTTTTCTGGTTTAGTGTATGGCTCAAGAGGAGTCTTTTCTGGTTCTGGAATCTCAGGCTCATATGGTTCACCTGGCTTATGTTTGGGTTTTGGTTTTGGTTCTGTGGGTTTCTCTTTTTTGAACGGTTTTAACTCTACCACTTCTTTCTCTTCTTCTTTAGGAGGTAACCGTTTACCTCTCCATGAAGGAACTTCAGGTTCATCTTCCTTTTTCTCTGGTTTCTTTCTTTCTTTCTTAACTTTTGGTTCTTCCTCTTCTGATGGCTTCTCTACCACTGGTTTTGGAGCTTCGGGTTCAATTGAAGGTTTTTCTTTAGGTTCTGGTTCAGGTTTGAGTGGTTTCTCCAGTGGCTCTCTTTCTTTATCGGGAATCTCTGGTTCAGTGCGTTGGAATGGTTCCAACTCCACTGGCTCCCGTTCAGGAATGTCTTTGGGAAGTTTCTTACCAGGCTTACGAGCTGCCTTCTCTTTCTCTTCCTCTTGTGGCTTTTTCTTCGGGATAGGTTTTAGCTGTGGCTTCTCGGCTTCCTTTTCAGGAGACTTTGGCCGACGTTTGGGTGGCTTTAATTTGATTTCCTCACCTTCCTCTTCAGGCTTCAATTTACCTTTCCCAAGCTTCAACTTCTTTTCCTCCTCTAGCTCAGGTTTATCCTTAGGTTTGCGTTGATATTTATCTTTTCCTGATTCCTCTTCATCTTTTGGCTTTGCCGGAGGTTCATACTTCTCATATTTCTCAAGTTCTACAGGTTCTTTATCAGGTATTTCCTCAGGAACATAAGTTTCATACTCAGGGGGAGGAGTCCATACCTTCTTCTCAATTACAGGCTCAGGTTCTTCTGGGTTTCAACATGCTCAAGCTCCACAGTCTCAAGTGTTACTTCTTCGGGCACAAATACCCTCTGAGTTGTTTTTCTGAGTGTTACTTTTGGTATCTCAAACTTTTCTTCTGTTGGAGCCCATAGCTTCGGAAGCCTCTTTTTCGGCTTTTGTGCTATTTTCTGAGAATCATCAGGCCTTGACTTTGGTTCAATAGGCTTTCCTGGTTCCTCAGGTTCTGGATACACATCCTTATGAAGTTCAGAAACCTCGTCAGGTTCTTTCTCCTTTTCAGGCTTCGAGTAAGGTTCGAGAGGAGTTTTCTCTGGTTCCGGTATTTCAGGTTCATAAGGCTTACCTGGTGTGAATTTTGGACTGGGTTTTGGTTCTTTTGGTTTTTCTTTTTTGAAAGGTTTTAATATAATGTCTTCTTTTTCTTCTTCCTTTGGAGGAAGCCTTTTACCTCTCCACGAAGGTGCTTCAACTTCTTCATCCTTATCTGGTTTAATTTTATCTTTTTTAGGCTTAAATGCCTCGTCGGGCGTAAGCTTTTCCTCATCATCGAGCTTAACAGGTTGACTCACATAATCAGGAACTTTTTCCTTTTCTGGTTTAGTGTATGGCTCAAGAGGAGTCTTTTCTGGTTCGAGAATCTCAGGCTCATATGGTTCACCTGGCTTATGTTTGGGTTTTGGCTTTGGTTCTGTGGGTTTTTCCTTTCTGAACGGTTTTAACTCTACCATTTCTTTCTCCTCTTCTTTAGGAGGTAACCGTTTACCTCTCCATGAAGGAACTTCAGGTTCATCTTCCTTTTTCTCTGGTTTCTTTCTTTCTTTCTTAACTTTTGGTTCTTCCTCTACGGATGGCTTCTCTCCCACTGGTTTTAAACCTTCGGGTTCAACTGAAGGTTTTTCTTTAGGTTCTGGTTCAGGTTTGAGTGGTTTCTCCAGTGGTTCTCTTTCTTTATCAGGAATCTCTGGTTCAGTGCGTTGGAATGGTTCCAACTCCACTGGCTCCCGCTCAGGAATGTCTTTGGGAAGTTTCTTACCAGGCTTACGAGCTGCCTTCTCTTTCTCTTCATCTTGTGGCTTTTTCTTCGGGATAGGTTTTAGCTGTGGCTTCTCGGCTTCCTTTTCGGGAGACTTTGGCCGACGTTTGGGTGGCTTTAATTTTATTTCCTCACCTTCCTCTTCAGGCTTAAATTTACCTTTCCCAATCTTTAACTTCTTTTCCTCCTCTAGCTCAGGTTTATCCTTAGGTTTGCGTTGATATTTATCTTTTTCTGATTCCTCTTCATCTTTTGGTTTTGCCGGAGGTTCATACTTCTCATATTTCTCAAGCTCTACAGGTTCTTTATCAGGTATTTCGTCAGGAACATAAGTTTCATACTCAGGTGGAGGAGTCCATACCCTCTTCTCAATTACAGGCTCAGGTTCTTCTGGGGTTTCAACATGCTCAAGCTCCACAGTCTCCAGTGTTACTTCTTCGGGCACAAATACCCTCTGAGTTGTTTTTCTGAGTGTTACTTTTGGTATCTCAAACTTTTCTTCTGTTGGAGCCCATAGCTTCGGAAGCCTCTTTTTCGGCTTTTGTGCTATTTTCTGAGAATCACCAGGTCTCGACTTTGGTTCAATAGGCTTTCCTGGTTCCTCAGGTTCTGGATATACATCCTTATGAAATTCAGAAACCTCGTCAGGTTCTTTCTCCTTTTCAGGCTTCGAGTAAGGTTCAAGAGGAGTTTTCTCTGGTTCCGGTATTTCAGGCTCATAAGGCTTACCTGGTGTGAATTTTGGACTGGGTTTTGGTTCTTTTGGTTTTTCTTTTTTGAAAGGTTTTAAAGTGATTTCTTCTTTCTCATCTTCCTTTGGAGGAAGCCTTTTGCCTCTCCACGAAGGTGTTTCAGCTTCTTCATCCTTATCTGGTTTAATTTTATCTTTTTTAGGTTTAATTGCCTCGTCAGTCCTTAGCTTTTCCTCATCATCGGGCTTAACAGGTTGACTCTCATCGCCAGGAATCTTTTCTTTTTCTGGTTTAGTGTATGGTTCAAGAGGAGTCTTTTCTGGTTCCGGAATCTCGGGTTCGTATGGTTTACCTGGCTTATGTTTTGGCTTTGGCTTCGGTTCTGCGGGTTTCTCCTTTCTGAATGGTTTTAACTCTACCACCTCTTTCTCTTCTTCTTTTGGAGGTAACCGTTTACCTCTCCATGAAGGAACTTCAATTTCTTCCTCTTTCTCTGGCTTTGTCCTAGCCTTTTTTAATTTTACCTTTTCGTCCTCCTCTTTCTGTGTCTCCTGCACTGGTTTTAGAATTTCAGGTTCTGCTGATGGTTTTTCTGTAGAACTGGGTTGAGGTTTGAGAGGTTTCTCCAGTTGTACCTCGTCTTTATCTGGAATTTTTGGCTCAGTTCGCTTAAATGGCTCCAATTCCACCGGTTCACGTTCTGGAATGTCTTTGGAAGATTTCTTGCCTGGCTTCAGAGATATTTTCTCTTTATCTTCTGTTTCTGGCTTTTTCTTGGGTATGGGTTTCAGATGTGGCGTTTCCCTTTCCTCTTCGGGAGGTTTAGGCCAACGTTTCCCAGGCCTAAGTTTCCTTTGTTCTTCTTCTTCCTCCTCTGGTGGCCACCGACCTTTGCCAATTTTAAGCTTCTTTTCTTCTCCCTGCTCTGTCTTCTCTTTTGGCTTACGTTGATATTTGTCTTTTTCTTGTTCATTCCAATCTTCTGTTTTTTCAGAGGGCTCAAACACATCTGTTCTTTCAAGTTCCACTGGTTCCTTCTCAGGCAGCTCCTCTGGTGAATATGTTTCATAATCTGGTAGAGGACTCCATTCCCGCTTTTCTTTCTTGAGTTCAGGCTTCTGTGGTTTCTCAACGTGTTCAAGATCCACTGATTCGAGTTTTTCCTCTTCTTGGACAAACTTCTTTGGAACAGTTTTCTTTAATGATACTTTGGGTATTAAAAACTCTTCTTTTGGAAGTTTTTCTGTTTTAGGTCTTTTGGTGGGTTTTAACTGAACCTTCTGTGGATGAGTAGGAAGTTCGTTTTCTATAATATCCCTCATGGTTTCAATAATTTCTGAACCTTCTGTCTCTCTTTCTCGTTCAGGCTCATAATCTCTTTCTATTTCATCCTTCCTGTATGGCTCTTGGGGTGTCTTCTCTGGTTCGTGAATTGCTGGCTCATATGGTCTACCCGATGCGGGCCTGGGAGTTGGTTTAGGCTCTTCTGTTTTTTTCTTACCGAAGGGTTTTAAGACAACCTCTTCTTTTTCTTCTTCTTTTTGAGGAACCTTTTTAATTCTCCAAGGAGTTCCTGGTTCCTCTTCCTTCTTATCTAGTTTACTTCGCAATTTCTTTGGCTTCATTTCATCCTCTAATGAAGTTTCTCCTGTATCCAATGATTCCGGAATGTCAGGTTCACCTGCTGGTTTCTTTTTCGATTTAAGCTTAGGTTTGACAGGTTCCTCTAATTGCGTCTTGTCTCCATCAGGAAACTCTGGTTCTACGCGTTTAAAAGGTTCCAATTCTACCGGTTCTCGCTCGGGAATGTCTGTAGATGGTCTCTTACCAGCCTTAAGAGGCATTTTACCTTCCTCCTCTTGCTCTGTCTTTTTCTTGGGTATAGGTTTAAGATGTGGTATTTCTATTTCCTCTTCTTTTGGTTTAGGCAAGCGTTTCCCAGGCTTAAGTTTCACTTGTTCTTCCTCCTCCTCTGGCGGCCACCGACCTTTGCCAATTTTCAACTTTTTGCCTTCTCTTGTCTCAGTCTTTTCTTTCTGTTTACGCTGATGTGTATCTTTTTCTCTTTCCTTCTCATCCTTTATCTTTTCGGTGGGTTCAAATGTATCCGGCTTCTCAAGTTCCGCAGGTTCATTCTCAGGCAGCTCATCTGGAGTGTAAGTTTCATAGTCTGGCACGGGACTCCATTCCCGTTTTTCTTTAACAGTTTCAGGTTTCTTCTTTTCTACATGTTCTAGATTCACTGATTCAAGAGAGGTTTCCTCCGGGACAAACTTTCTTGGTATAGTTTTCTTAAGGATCACCTTAGGAATTATGAATTCTTCTTTTTGAGGAGTTTTAATCTCTGGTCTCTTGCGAGGTTTTAATTTTCCCTCCTGAGTGTCTGGTGTTTTCTTAATGTGGGAGGGTTCCATCTGTGTTTCATCTATGCTTTCTTCGTACTGACCCAGTACCTTATCATCAATTTCAGTAAATTCATCAAATTCTTCCTTTTCTGGCTTTCTGTAATATTTAAGAGGAATTTTTTCTGGTTCAGACTCTTTTGGTTCGTATCGCTTGCCTGGCTTAGATTTAGGAGTTAATCTTGCTTCATCGGGCTTTTCTTTCTGGAAAGGTTTTAACACTACTTCTTCTTTTTCTTCTTCCTTTGTAGAAAGTCTTTTGACTCTCCAAGATGGAACTTTTCGTTCTTCCTCCTTTTCCTCTGGTTTTGGTGCCCTAGTTTTTCGCCTGGACTCTTCCCCCTGAGAAATTTCATTCTCGTATACTGATTTAGGAATTTCCTCAAACTCTCCTTCTTCAATATCAAGAATGGTCTTTTCGGTCTCTACAAGTTGTTTCAGGTCTGCAGATTCCTGACCAGGGATACGTTTTGATGGTCTTTTACGAGGCATAAAAGACACCTTCTCTTCTTCCTCCTCCTCTGTCTTTGGCCTTTGTTTTGTAAAAGGTTTTAAATGAGGCTTTTCGGGTTCGTCTTCAAAAGGTTTTGGTAAACGCTTTCCTGGTTTGAACTTGATCTGTTCCTCATTTTCCTCTGGTTTCCACCATCCTTTTCCAAACTTCGTAGCTCTGTCTTTAACTGTTTCAGAAAGCTTCTCCTCAAACTTACGTTGATAGGTATCATTCTCTTCAATAAATTCTTGTGTTTGTATTTCCATTGGCTCTATTTTTTCCCAAGTATCCAAAGAAACCTGTTCTCCATTAAGTAGGTCCTCTGGACCATAGCTTTCATCATGTAAAAAGTCCTGCTCACGTTGATCCGTTTTCGACTTTATCTTCTTGATCTTCTCCACATGCGTCAGCTCCACAGTCTCAAGTTTTGATTCTTCAGGAGCAAACTGCGGTCGAGGTGTTTTCTTGAGTTGCACCTTGGGCAAAATGAACTTTTCTGGCTCTTCTTTTTCTTTTGGAAACCGCTTACCGATTTTTGGCTTTAATTTTGCTGGTTCGATGTATTTTGTCTCATCAGACGGTTGTAAATCATCGGCAGGAGCCTCTTCCATCACATAAATTTCTTGATCATGTCTTTCTAGTTCAGCTTTTGAAATTGATTTTGGTTCTTTTGTTCTGTCTATTTTAAAAGGCTTAAGTGTCACACCTTCGAATTCCTCGTCCTTTTTAGGAATCCTCTTAACTCTCCACTTAGGAGTTTTAGATTCGTCTTCTATCACATTTGAGTCAGGTTTCTCTTTCTGAAATGGTTTCAACTTAAGTTTATCACCATCTTCTGGGGCCTTTGGCACGTATCTGACAGGCCTAAGCTGAACCTCCTGACTATCTTCTTCAGGTTTTACTTTTATTCTACGGCGTACTAGTCTCTTTCCTTCCTTTAATTCCTTGCCTTCCACTGGTTTACGTTGGTATCTTTCTCTTGGAACTTTTCCTTTGCTCTTTGGTTCCTCTTCTGGCGTCTCATATTCCCCGAACTCGCCATATTCACCGTCAGAAACATATATATATTCGTAGTCTTCATCATCGGATTCAGGGATTTCCTCCCTGCCTGTCTCTGGTGGCGGTTTCTTAAGTTTCTCCACGTGTGCGAGCTCAACCTGTTCAAGCTTGGTATCCTCTGGAGCAAATTTCCTTTGATGAGATTTCTTGAGTTCTACCTTGGGAACTGTCCACCTCTCCTGCTCCTTGGGTTCCAGCATTTTAGTCGATTTCTTGAGCTTCAATGCAGCTGATCCAATATCTTCAACCTTTTTCTCTGCTAACCAAGGCGCTCTCTCTCTTCTCTTTCTCTCGAGTTCTTCTTCATTTCTCCTTACAAATGGTGGAGGTTCATCACTTCCTGGGATGCTACTGTCTGCGAAGGGCCTTGCTGGGCTACGAGATAGCCATCTGGCAGGACTTGGAGAAACCCATCGGTGTTTTCGGGTTTCTCTCTCCTGTGTCCGACGAGTGAGCCGGACATGATCTTCTACCTCCGTATATGAACCTGTAAGGGAATTAATCCACCTTGTCAACAACACAATCGGCACATTTTGTGCCGTAAGAAATGCATGAGGGCATTGTGTCATTAGACTGGCTCGCAGTGTGTCATCGTCGGGTGACTAAGCCCTAGTTATTTATATTTAGCTATATACCTAAGATTCAAAAGCTAGAAAGAAACTACATAAAGATGTAACAGATGTTCCTGCCTGTGAGTCAGTGTTGCTTCGATATGATTCATGAGAGGGGGACGCCCTGTGTATCGTGGGCGGCGCTAGAACAGCGATGTAACCTTTGAAAGATCATCGTCCAAAACGATTCGTTCTCAGCATGGGTGAAGAGCCAGTGTGAAAGCTAGCTACAACCCGCTGACTTCCCATTGGATAAATATGGAGGCGGCATCAGTGACGTGGGCAAGCTGGCCTCCCACTAGAACTACTTCAACAGCAGAGGCTCGAGGAATTCAGTTTAGTTCAGGCACTCGTGGTGTGAGGGGTGGCGAAATGAATTCTTAGTGATCGTGAATGAACACTGAATGAAAGGTTTTAAGAAGATTTTTCACTTCATTTCTGAAATTCTTTGAAAATTTAAATTTCCTCCATAACAGTGGAACATAATAAGCATGAATAGTCGGTTAGATTAACGTGCATTCATTCTGTCTTAAATGAGATGACTTAGTATATTTAAGTGCATGGTGACAGTGATCATAATGAAATCAGCTGAGGAGAATTGCTAACTGAAATTAATGGAGTAGGAAACTTGAAATCCCAAAAGCACAGAATGTAAAGCTAGTGAGAATGGCAATGTTTCTACAATAAATGGCGTATACTGACAGCTGGGCCCAAGCGGGGTGACGCCACCCTCAGCACTTCTATTACCAGAGTAAAACATTACTGTAAGTTTTTAAAGGCCCTTATACTTACTAAACTAACTGTGTTGTCAAACGCAAAAGAATTTTTTTTATTTATCTGTCATGTGGTAATAGTGAGCACGCTTAAATGAACACCAAGTAGTAGGACCGTGTTTGCTTTATTTGGTGAAATTTACTAGGCGGCAGGTATACCGAGTGGAGCATCAGTGTGTGCTTGAGACGCTACATAAGTATATTATGATCCTTTCTATTGGTGCAAGGTTAGTTTCAAAAAGATTTCTGATTTTTAGTCTGAACCCAAATCGTCTTAAAAAGGTGAACAAATTTAAGAGAGAGAGAGGTGATTCACAGCCTTTCTTAGCATCCGTGACTCACTGCGGCAGCCCCGACACCAAGGCACCCAGGAAGCAAAATTAGTCACTTGTTATATTACCTCATTTGGGCTTCTCCTAGCTTCAGCATGGGCCCTTAACTCCCTCATGTCCTCTTAAGGCTTTGGCAGCTGTTGCAATGAGGCCATATCCTCAAGGCAGCTGCCTATGAACAGTGCCAAAAGTTTTTTAATCATGGGGCCAATTGCGCTCGTTTATGTTTGTGTATGTGTGATATGCCTCGGCGAAGAGGTTTACTATATATAGGACGGTATAATATTGGTGTGTTTACAAGTTTCTTAGGCAAATAAATTTTAATTCTTAGGACGTTTTATTGTTGTCAGCACTATAGTTCAGTAGTGTCAAGGGTAAAGTGTAAAATTAACGATGCCCTTTACACGATTTTTGCCGCTAACATTTTTGCTTGACCTTGATTATGACTTTTCATGTTGTTTTCTCGGCAGATAATGAAGAGGATTAAAACAGAACGGCAAACAGTTGTAGCGTGTGGCGAGCACAAGATTTCCCTACACATCCTAGATGTAGGCAGCCATCCAGAATTGTTTCATCGTTATTTAATCGCTTCACTAGTAAGGCAGTGTATTACTACTTTTAAAAGTAAGTGAAAATCTCAGTCAAAAATGTAGTGAAACTGCTAAAAAGGGGCTGCATGTGCTTCTTTCACATATTGTATGGTCATCTGTATATTGTTTCCTTTCACTGCTGTAATCACTGGTTCTTCAAAGATTAATTAGCAAGATTGAGTGTAAATGTGTGGGAGTTAGCTCTTGACAGACGGCCATGTGACCGGTGGTTGAATTTATAAATTGAGCGGGAAACTTCTGTTAATTACGATTTTTAGAATTTACGAATATAATTTTTTTCATGTCTGTATCATCCCACATGTGATGCAGCGCTAATTAAGGCAATGAGCAGCCAAAACACACCTGGGTAACTTTTCACGCAAAGCGGAGGCTCCTTTGGGAGTACCATTGCTGCTTCATTAACAAGTAAGTTTCCTTGGTGTGTTATTTAATCAGTAAAGTAAATTTCATGTCTTTTTTCTCTTGTATATTGTCAAGTGAACTAACCCTCCTCGTTATATATATATATATATATATATATATATATATATATATATATATATATATATATATATATAATATATAATATATATATATATATAATATATATATATAATATAATATTATATATATATATATATATATATATATATATATATATATATATATATAATATATATATATATATATATAATATATATATATATATAATATATATATATATATATATATATATATATATTATATATTGTATATTATATATATATATATATTATATATATATATATATATATATATATATATATATATATATATATATATATATATATATATATATATATATATATATATATATATACTGTTAAATTATTTATGTATTAGGATAACATAAATAAATGGAACAAAACACCAGCCTTTCATTCAACCTAAATATAATCTAAGTTATAAGGAAGTTAAAGTTTACAGAAGGCAAACATTCTGGCACATTAATCTCAAGAGCAGTAACATCAAAGTCTGCAAGTATCCCAAATGCTTCACTTTATTATCAAAGGAGAATTTGACTGACATTACCCAAATAAACTTGGGGTTTCCGCATGTCTAACAGTTAAATCATTGAGATACATTTTGGCTACCTGTCTTTAACGACCTATATATGACGCAGGTATTTAGTGTATGCTTACAAAACCAAATATGAAGTAACACTAAAGTCACTCATTCCCCAGAGAGGTGTCTCATACATAGCTCCAGCGGCCCAAGAAACGCTTGTTGCTTCATCCATACTCGTTGCCTAATTGCTTTTTATTTCAGGTTCATGACGATACAGAGATTTATGGAAAAATGTAATTACTGTTTCCTGCTTATTATTATTATTCATTTTACCCCGTTTATCGTTATATTGAATATCATTATAATTTCCAAAACTACAATATTATCTACACCAGAATGAATAGAAATAACCTATATGATTTTCTTTAGTTATAAAGTTTGAAATGTATATATCCACATGGTAAACACGAGTGTATGTATAAGCTGGAGTTCTCGTAAACTGCATGAAGTTTACTCACTATAAAAAATTGTTTAAGCAACGGGACATACAAAAATAATTAAGGCTCCACTAAGATTAGGTCCAGACATGGAGATACGTGGAAAAATGTTCCCGTGTGTGTGGAGTGGGTCGGAGGGTGGTTGCAAACGGCAAAAATATCTGATTATTCACCTCGGTAGCAGCTTATGCCAAATTGGATGTCCTTGCTTATAGAATGTGCACTAAGAGATTATTACTTTATATAGTACTTTCGACATTTTGACTATATTTTAAAAAATATAAATTTGGAGAAATTGTAGTCACTGTATAATTTAGTAATGTGCACAAAATTAAATAAAAAAAAAGCGTCAGTGCCTGAATACTTTTCTTTTTGAGCCGAATTTCGACCGAAAACAAAAATCTTCAAAATCGACAACTAGTGTTTTGTACCGCCAAGAACTTAGTACTAACGATCTTCATTTTTTGATACCCCTTCACTTCTGCTGGTACAAAAACTGATTCCTGATTATCCCTACGGCTCGCCGAACAGAAATTTAAAATGAAACACTGGTAGCTAGTTTAGCATCAGGGGTAAAAACGCAGTATATAGCTTAGAATGAAATTTACAGGATAAACAATAGATAAAACTGGTGGCAAGACACCATCTGGGCTTGCCACTCCCAGGTGGCAATGCGCCAGTCTGTGGCCTCCACCTGGCCACCACGAAGCCACGGAAGTCGAGTAAACGTGTGTAGTGGTACAAAGGTGCCGCAGATGTGGAACATTACACCGCAACCAGGTATTGTGTGTGTGTGCGCCTGTGTGTTTGTACTCATCGACTTATATTTGCAGTGTCGAGTCTTGGCTCCTGGCCCCACCTATTACCATGCTTGCGCATGTAAGGCGTTATAAAGAGTGTGCCTTTTTGAGAGGATGTATAAACTTGGGAGGAACTGTGCGTGTGTGTTTAGGCAGGAGGGTAGAAACGATTGTGTGTCGAAGCCGGAGATTGGAAGTGTGTGTGTGTGTGTTTGGCATGGAAGAAAGAGAGAGTTAGTTATCAAAGGCACTTACCGATAAACATTTGACCAATTGTGTATCTATGTATTTTTGTGTGAGTGTTTGCGCGCGTGTAAACATGACCCCCCTCGCCAGCACAACTCCCTACTTAGTTGTGTTTACGAGGGGTTCAAGACTGAACTCCTGGTCCCGCCTCCTAGACAGGCGCGAGTTCAAGGAGGGTGGGGGGAAGGAGGAGCATTTTTACTGCGAATAAGTTAGCTAATAAGAAATTAATAAAGATGCCTGACTTCTTTGTAGAACAGCAGGACGAGAAACAAAGAGTATGAAAATTTATTGGAAATATTATGAAGATAGTGTGGTCAATTACTAGTGTTTTCTCACTAATATTAGATTATTGTGGTGTCAGTGAGGTTAATAACTGCGGTATTTGTGAGGTTAATGACTGTGGTGTCTGTAAGGTTAATGACTGGGGTTTGTGAGGTTAATGACTGGTGTCTGTTAGGTTAATGACTGTGGAGTTTGTGAGGTTAATGACTGTGGAGTTTGTGAGGTTAATGACTGTGGAGTTTGAGGTTAATGACTGTGGTGTTTGTGAGGTTAATGACTGTGGTGTTTGTGAGGTTAATGACTGTG